AAAACATGACCTGGATAAGCATGAGAAACAGAGTATAATGCCCAGCTTCTCAAGCCCCTCCTTGGGCTGGATTAGCATTTGAAGACGATGGCTAATTCACTGCAAAAATGCTTTTCGGTGGAGAAGTATTCCCAGAACCTGGAGGTGTTCTTGACACATATTCCCCTACTGAAGTGATATTTCTATAAAACATCTCAGTCTTCGATATTTTTGAAACAAATAACAAACATCTTAAAACTAACATTGTTCTTGATGGCTGAGAAATGACAGAGTGGAATACAGTGTCATCAGAGTTTGAGGATGACAGAATTTGAGGCGTAAACACCCACTTTTATCACTTGACCGCGTATATCCAAAGGAAAAAGGATATTTTAACAGTCTACATAGACAGGCTGGTGATATTTCACGAGCAACACCCTAAATAACAGAAACCAACTTCTAAGAAATAGTAAGTCCGGACTTCCTATGTATAAGCTGCACACGTATTCTAGGGATCAGAACAATGTTCTCAACTTTCTAAGTCAAGTCATAGTTCCCTGAAACAGACAGAAATACGTGAGAACTCTACAATGCTGACATTATGTCTTGCTTCCATTCTGGCAGTGCAACACGGATTCTGGCAAGCACATCCATCTAAGGAAGTTTCCACAAAGTGAAGTCGCTGTGAGTTACTACAAAAAAAAAAAAAAACACACACACACAACTAAAGAAAAATATTCTATCCCGAGTTATTTAGGCAACAAAGTGCATGCTTAGCTACATTCTACCCAAGTATTAGTGGCATTGGCTGCTTTGCATCCCATGCTTTAAACCAGAATAACCTGTCCTTAGAACAGAGTAATTATTCCCAACACTTTTGAGGTCCAGTAAAAACAAGTTTCTTTTTTTTCACATGAATTAATTAATGAGTCTGCCAGTGTGCATTCAGTGGTTGAACCATGAGTGTTATGAGGAGTACATGCTGAATCCAAAGTGCAAATGATCAGCCTTCATGGTGATGAAAATGTTTCTTGAATGAATTTGAAGGCATAATGACCAACATGGATCGTATGAAATATAAAGTCACTTGAAATCAAAGTTCTTAGAGTACAAACACAATGTGAAAAATAACTGTGGCTATGCTTTATTTTAGCAATAGCTTTAGATTCTGCTAGATGAAATAAATAGGCTAAGAATGCAATTAGTATATTTTTATACATTTTCTTATACTTTTGGGAGACACAAAGCATTCATTATTTTAGGGGTTTGCTTCATTTTGTTTTGTTTTCCTCCATCCTCATGACTAACAACCCTATTTCCCGCTCTGCAGTGACCTGACTAGGACTGACCTGTAAATGACCCCGTTGACATAAGGTCTTTCCTTCTTGTCATCATCTCATTGGGTAAGAAGTAGGCGGGAAGAAGAGTATGGCTGCTGGTACTAATACCCTATAATTAGTCTCGGCTATTTATCTTGAGTCTTCTCTGCAGCTAAGAAGCCAAGCAAGACCTTCTACCAAGCAAGAGTTGACTCCAGGTAAAGGTAATGGTCCTCAACTGCCCAGTGCAGTAATATAGAGCATTTATTTGTGATAGCACCAGACTTATTATGGAATCACACTTTTTCCCTATTAGCCCTGATTGCTAAGCTTAAATACATCTAGGTATCATTTCAATATTAATTCCTAACTTAGACATTAGACTTCAGTGTTATGATCATAAATTTTTAACTATACTTTAAGTCTGCGTTTGATACTGTCAAATTATACAAGGCACTGTATATATACAATATATATATATACAAATATAAAAGATATTCATAAGAAACCTACTATTCTTGTCGGTAAATTTCTCAGAAAATTAAAACTATAATTAATTATTGAGATTATTCCAATAATTATCTTTAAATCTTACTGATACTTAAAACTCATAATTTATTTTATTATAGTGTAATTATTATATTTTATTTTACTATAGTGTATTAAAACATGCCTTTCAATGCTGAATTGATCCATAATTTCACAAATGATATCTCCTTAGCAAGTGACAAAAACAAGCACAAGCTCTTAAAGCTTGTATCTCATACATACAATAGAGTCTTACCTTTCTACTGAAAAAAACTCTTATCATTTAATGTTAAAAATATATAATGGTATATATGTGATATTATATATAATATTGTATTTATAATAGCATGTTAAATATAAAATAAATAATATTTTTTCAATTTATTCATATATATTTCTTATTGAATTTTATTGAGCTCTACATTTTTCTCTGCTCTCCTCCCCTTCAACCCTCTCCCAAGGTCCTCATGCTCCCAATTTACTCAGGAGATCTTGTCTGTTTCTCCTTCCCATGTAGATTAGATCCATGTATGTCTCTCACTGTTTTTTAGGTTCTCTGGGATTGTGATTAGTGGGCTGATTTTCTTTGCTTTATGTTTAAAAACCACTTATGAGTGAGTACATGTGATAATTGTCTTCTGGGTCTGGGTTATCTCACTCAAAATGATGTTTTCGAGCTCAATCCATTTTCCTGCGAAATTCAAGATGTCATTATTTTTTTCTGCTGTGTAGTATTCCATTGTGTAAATGTACCATATTTTCCTTATCCATTCTTCGATTGAAGGGCATTTAAGTTGTTTCCAGGTTCTGGCTATAACAAGCAATGCTGTTCTGAACATAGCTGAGCACATGTCCTTATGGTACAATTGAGCATCCTTTGGATATATACCCAAAAGTGGTATTGCTAGGTCTTGAGGAAGGTTGTTTCCTAGTTTTCTGAGAAATCACCATACTGATATCCAAAGTGGCTGTACCAGCTTGCACTCCCATCAGCAATGCAGGAGAGTTCCCTTTACCCCACAACCTCTCCAGCATAAATTGTCATTAGTGTTTTTTATCTTGGCCATTCTTACAGGTGTAAGATGGAATCTCAGAGTTGTTTTGATTTGCATTTCTCTGATGACTAAGGATGTTGAACATTTTAGCCATTTTAGATTCCACTGTTGAGAATTCTCTGTTTAGGTCTGTACTCTATTTTTTATTGTATTATTTGTTCTTTTGATGACCAATTTCTTGAGTAGAATATATTTTTAATTATTTAAAAGGAGTTAAAATGATTTTAACAAGAAAATATTCAGGTAATCATTTGAAAAAGTAGTCAGGAAATAAGGAATTTAATAAGGAATTCCATCCACTTAATAAACATTTTGCTTACTTAGGTTACACATGAGATGTTTACAATCCAGTGATCTCTTAGAGGTGGTTCTGAAGTCACTTTAGCAAGCAGCTTTTCCAATTCCCTGAGGCTTCTATCAGGAGCAGCAAATAGTCTTTCTTTTCCACTCTGCAGGGTGGGGCCATCCAAGTCTTGATTCTGTGACTCTTATAAAGATGTTTCCCATAACTCAAGTATAGCAAAAATAATAGATTCAGTAAGACACAGTATTCCTTTCACAAATACAATATAGAGTAACATACTAGAAGTTTGAAATGTTATTATCTAAGAACTATGAAAATTAAATGAGCAGATGGGCATTGTGACTCTTTTAGAAAAAGACTGATTTTTTTAAATACCTTAAAGACATTAAAATTGTCATATATATACACTTCTTAAAGAAGTATATGTATATATATACACTTATTATATACTTATTAAAGAAGTAAAATTAATCATATCACTTTCATTACTGGAAAAGTGAATTTAGACTATGACAAATGCCCCCTCCAGTTCCATCCCATGTCTGATATATTAATTAACGGTCACAAAATGTTGGAAATAACCCAGCTTGATGTTCTATTTCTACAGGTAACAAATGCAAGGCCTAGAAAGAGGTCACTGAAAGCCCATGGTTACTCAGGCAGGATAGCACCTAGGTTCAAACTCTGCCTGCTCCATACTAAACTGTTTTTTGCTCAGGGTCATGTCTCACTCTTTACCACTGATATCTTTACTTTTAAATTCTAGACTTTGTAACATTATTCCCCCTGTCACCTCAATCAAAATGTCTATGGATGTTCCCCAAGTTTGCCCTAAGTTTGAGATGCTCTTTTCCTATCAAATTCTTTTTTTTTTGGAATTTTATTTTATTTTTATGTATTTATGTATTAAAGATTTCTGCCTCCTCCCCGCCACCGCCTCCCATTTCCCTCCCCCTCCCCCAATCAAGTCCCCCTCCCTCGTCAGCCCAAAGAGCAACCAGGGTTCCCTGCCCTGTGGGAAGTCCAAGGACCACCCACCTCCATCCAGGTCTAGTAAGGTGAGCATCCAAACTGCCTAGGCTCCCACAAAGCCAGTACGTGCAGTAGGATCAAAAACCCATTGCCATTGTTCTTGAGTTCTCAGTAGTCCTCATTGTCCGCTATGTTCAGCGAGTCCGGTTTTATCCCATGCTTTTTCAGACCCAGGCCAGCTGGCCTTGGTGAGTTCCCTATAGAACATCCCCATTGTCTCAGTGTGTGGGTGCACCCCTTGCGGTCCTGAGTTCCTTGCTCGCGTTCTCTCTCCTTCTGCTCCTGATTTGGACCTTGAGATTTCTGTCCAGTGATCCAATGTGGGTCTCTGTCTCTGTCTCCTTACATCGCCTGATGAAGGTTCTAAGCAAGTCTTGCCTCAGAGACTCTGATAAGCATCTGAAATGGAGATTGCTGCTGATAACAGCCCACCTCTACGGCATTTCCACCCACTCCATTTCTCACGGCTTGTGCTGATAGGCGCATCCCTAAGACCCATGCTGCTCATAGTCAGGGCCTAGCTCGACTTCCATAATCTCAGTGTTGGGCAGAGCACTTCCCAGCAGATTACACTTTAATGATAGCTTCATTAATAGTCAAAAATTAAACGAATTTTACTTCAAGTTTGCTGTTTCTTTACTTCTGTGAAAATGTACTGGCTAAAACTATCTATAATTCAGAGGGTTTTTTTTTTCTCCCTTAAGGAAAACATTACATGCAATCACTTCTAACTTGATAGCAATGGAGTCTTAATTTAATTTTTTAAATTTATTTTTAGGTGCAATGATGAGGAATTTTATCGCAGTTATGAATATTCTGGCATTAACTCTGCCCTTTTTGGTAAGTTAATTTCATTTAAATTCTGTTAGTAAGATGTTAAGTAAATTTTATTTGAGAGTTTCAGTTCTATGAATATCAAAATGTAGGCACTTCAAGGATCATAACAACTGGTTCATAGCTTTTCTAGGTTTACTTGTTTCATAAAAATAAAAACTCTTTTAGATAATTAGTTACCATAACACATACTTCATTGTTCATAGAATGTTTTCCATACTCCTATACTGTAAAAATATATTTCTAATTTAGAAAGTACCGTAAATATAATTTATAAACAGTAAGTATAGGAATCCTAGTCCAGGGTAAGAGATCCTTGTTATGAAGTTTCTATTTCTCTCATCCTCCAGCCTCCTTATGGACTAAATATTTAAAGATTTTAAAATATTTAACTTATTTCTCATGATTTCTCTTTTGGTAATTCCTCAGGCTGCCGAGGTGCAAAACCCGGATCCAACAGTAAGTTGATATTATCGATTAGAGACATGAATTTCAAACACAATATTCTGAAACGTTCAACCATAGTAAAATGCCTCTAAACCAAGTACTTAAATGTTTCCACAAGTTTAACCAACCTTCATACCTTTTAGTGTTTAAATTACTATCTTTTGTGACACTTTACTATGTGGGCTAACCAAGTCCTTCCCAGGTACCCGTGTACATAATTAGCTCTCAGGCTGGTAGACACAGAAATAAGGGAATCATGTAAGAGGGTCTGTTTCTTTGAAATTGTTAACTAATTGTCATTGGAGTTTGGGCTACTTTTAGGCTTTATTTTCACACTCATTCTGCAATTCCAAAAGCTCATCTGCCAGCAGCCAAAGGAGGGTGAGGAGGAGGCAATAGTATGTGCCCTCTTGATAAGATTACAAAGGTTTTAAATGATGGAGCATCTGATTAAATTATAAAATGGGAACAGGTATCTACTAAACAATACTTCTGAGTAAATTCTTGGGATAAAAAAAAATTCCCTTTGAGACCAGCCTGGTCTACAGAGCTAGTTCCAGGACAGGCTCCAAAGCCACAGAGAAACCCTGTCTCAAAAAACTAAAAAAAAAAAAAAAAATTACCTTTAAAATTTTACTGTGTGTGTTACATTTAGTTACTTTCATTTAATTGTTGAAATTATGTTTGGGTTTTCTCTTTTGAGTAATAGGAGGTAATTTTAAATCATAAAATGAGTCCCTTCCTGCTCTACAGCAATTCATGAATTATTGAGCCTACTTTATAACCGGCTCTCCTTCCTGTTTTCTTTATTAAGGATTTTTAATTAGTAAATATTAATTATACATAATGTGATTTATCATGACATTGATATACATATACAAAATATATTTTGTTCACACTTGCTCTCATTGATGCTCCTGCCACTACTACTGGGTCCCTTCCTCTTCTCAACAAGTCCCTCTTCTAATTTCTTTTTTATTTTAATTTTTTATTCTTAATATTTTATACATGTAAACAACACATAATTGAGATCATCCACAGAGATATGTATAAAGAGTCATTTACATGAGTGTGGGCAACTTGCCAGTGCCTATACCCTGAAGACAAAGCCTCGTCTAAGGAGGTTCCATTGCATAATGATTCACACTCTGAAAACACTACTTTCTCTACCAGCAACTATTAACTCTCAACAACTGCTCAGGGAGGGAGGGACCGTGTGAGCCCCCTTGATGCTCTGTGATGGAATTTGGACAGGCTGCATCTTGTGTCGTTAATCACAGCCACGGAGACTTCCAGAGTACAAAAGCCACATTCTTTCCGGAAGATAGATTCATGAAGGCTTCAAGTCACAAGAACATAGTGAAATAATTTTAAAAAAAGAAGTTTATAGAGTTTATGTTTCATATTTATGAGCTTTCCAAAGCATCTAAAATTTGCAATGTGATACTTTCTTTTATGTGTCAATGAAATGCTTTTTTAATGTAAAATGAGTATAATATTCATTTTGCTTTTAATACAAAAGTGAAATATAAAACAAACAAAAGACTTTCTGTTTAGATTTTTCTCCCTTGTTATTTATCATTATTTTTATTCTAATCTCACAGGTTGCAGAGGTGCAAAATCAGGAACAAGTGACTGTAAGTCTATTTTCAATTCTTTATATAACCTAAGAATAATTTATATGATAGTCTGCAAAGAGGAATGCCTTCTGATTAAAACTAAACATTTGATCTCTATGGAATAAATTAAATAAAAATAATTTATATGATAGTCTACAAAGAAGAATACCTTCTTATTAAAACTAAATAAACATTTTATCTCTACAGAATAAATTAAATAAAAATAATTTATATGATAGTCTGCAAAGAGGAATACCTTCTGATTAAAACTAAATAAACTTTTTATCTCTACAGAATAAATTAAATAAAAATAATTTATATGATAGTCTGCAAAGAGGAATACCTTCTGATTAAAACTAAAATGTTTGATCTCTATAGGATAAATTAGTTATCTTTTAATAAGTAAAAACACCACTTAAACAAAGATACCACGAACCAACCTGGGTGTTTGTCTGAAAGTCTTAGTTTCTTTGATTAGCCCACATTGCGAGGGCCCAATCAAATGCTTCCTTAGCACATGAGGCCACTCTCAATATGGAATACTTAAAGGGAAATGAACAAAAGTAGAGCTTTTATCTCCTGTCCACTTCATAAAGTTCAGTAGGAGAAAACGTCTTACCTGACTCATCTATAAGTCCATCTCATTTTCTCATATTAATGTCTCCTTTTGTTTCAAAATGTGTTTGACAGAATATATTAGTTGTTTCTTTTTACAGGAAAACTTGCTATGCTGTATGACTTTGTTGGTTCAATACATGGTGGCAGAAATAAGTAAAAACAGAAAAATCCTTAGTGGAGAAAATTAAACAAAAATGTTTAAATCCAAAGTTTAAATTAAAAAAATCTTCCCATACTTTACAATTCTGTTATAAAACATGCCATTTCTCGGGCTGATAACATTTGTGAACAATTAATATTTATGAGATGAGAATACACCCACATGTGTTTGTAAACATTGTGTGTGTTTGCATATAATGGGTAAAGTTCTCTATGAGACTTTTTAGGTACTGGAACTAAATATGTAAAGTCTAATTAGTACTTTCCATATATACCGGACTTCCATAAGAAAATACATATTTTACATTATTAATTACCTAATTTGTTCAAAACAAATATTATGTTGTCACAAGTAATGTTTCACAATATCAAAATCATACATGGAATGGAAAAAGTGTATATTAAAAACTAAGAAAAATAATGATTTAGGATTACATACTTTCAATACTCTATTTGCTCAACATAAAATCTGCATTATTTCAAAAGCCGCTGGTTTCCTTTGCATTTTGATCTACAATTAGAACCTTTCTGCACATTTTTCCTTTCTGCAGTGCCCTGAAAAGGATGAAATATTGTATGATCAGAGAAGAGTCCTGAATATACCAGTTCGCTATATGCTGAGCAGAAATCTTCGTTATGAACCTAATTATTACCACTATAGGCCATTTGTAGCTATTGACCCATATATGTATTACTCCTTGATTACAAGATTGCTTCTGCTTAGATCACCAGCCCAAATCTTCCAATGGCAAACAATGCCAAATCTCCCCCAGCCTACTGAGGTACCGCATCCTATTCCAAGCCCATCCTTTCTTGCCATTCCTACAAATCAAAATGACGATACCACCGCCATGCCAACTGTTGACACCAATACTCCTGTTGAGTCTACACCAGTCCCTATCATTGAACCAGTGGAAATTACTGTGGCCAATCCAGAAGCTTCCACAGAGCCAGTTAATAATCCTGAGACTGCTACAGTCCCAGTACTTTCAAGTGTAGCATAAAAACATCAAGAATCCATCAAAGAAGACAATAAAGGTAAGTGAGCAAGATTAAAATGAACAATCCAGACAACATGCAATGACTTATTCAGACAATCACAAATTCTAAACTAGTAAGAGAGGATAAATTATTTTAAGGGAGCAAGCAGAATAGCTAACTAGGATTGTAATTTGGTATAACTATACACGGGATGGGGAATGTGTATATCTAAACCTGCATTGACCATATAACATCGACAAATTGGTCTTTGTTTCAATAAGAAATGCAAACAGTATGTTTTTGAAAAATGAAGAAAACTTGTATTTGTACTTTTATCAACCATTTTCCTGAAGGTTACAATTCTCCTTTAGTCTGTTAATTTTAATTCATCCATACTCACACAGTGAAGTAAATACTTTGTACAATCTCACGTTTTGACTCTAAAGTTGCCTGAGTGAAATTTCTTCTATTGTGTTGTATACTAGAGTCACATGTCATGTTGGGCCTATAATCTCAGATGGCTAGGGAAATGGAAGCTGGAAGATCACAAGTTCAAAAACAGCCTAGTCTAGATAGAGACTAGACCAGCCCCAGAAGCAGGCAAGATCTTGTCTCAAACTTTAAAAATGAAAAAGAGGCCTGAGAATATAATTCAGTGTAAAGTTGTTGCCTAACATGTGTTAGGCCCTAAGTTCAATTCCATGTATATAGAGAAAAATATAAGAAAGGAAGAGAGAGACAGACAGAAAGACACAGCAAGAGAAAGAAGAAATGAGCCTGTAATAGCAATATTTACACTCTAACTTTCATATTAATAGGGCAAAAGAAATTATCTATTTTTCATGAAGTCCTTTACTTCAGACATAACTCCTGGAAAGAGTTGAACCTCCTTACTCTCTTTTCAGATAAATCATGAAAGAAGTAAAATGCTTACCTTTTTAAATACATGAATATTAAATGTAATCTAGTTAATTAATTATCTATTAAATCTCAGAATATTAAACATAAGGAAAAATACCATTAATTATTTGAATAAATAGATGGCTAAAGTTTAAAATAATTGGGAAATTCTAGGAAGTTAAATAATGATAAATATTAATGGTATTTTTAAAAACTCACAGAGGGTGAAATTATTTGGAGAGAAAAGTATGAATGCTGAGATTAGTTATAATAGAAGTTTATTATCTATCAAACTGGATGCATGTTATATGGTCTAAGATGCCATGCAAGGGTCTGTGATCTGAGGGAGGGCTACAGGCCAGAAAAAAATTAACCATCTCATCAATAACCTCGGGCTGGTTATCATTTTCTCTGGATTTTCTTTGTGTCATAACTTTGAGCTCACAACTCAAGTAGAAATGTGGGTAAAATGTACAAGGTGAGAGCCTGTTCAGTTTCAAATGTGGACACCTAATTCTATACCATGTTTCCATAGGGACTAATTTAAGAGAACTAGAAACCACCTGTGACTACACTATAAATTGTAGTTTTGAGATGTTATTTAATATATACTAAGAAAGGGAAGAACTGGGTAAATATCCAACACAGAGCGTTTTAGAGACTAAAATATAAAATAGGATGAAAAAATTATTTAACATAAGGTTATATATTTTATTGATCCAAAATCATTGCATTATTATGCTTACAAGTAATCATTGTTCAGTAGTATGTATGTTCATAACTTGTGAGTCTAGAATCCTGAATTAAAATCACGATGCATCATTTATAAAGACACTTGAGTAAAGGAGAGTGTCTTTTTGTACAACTTAAATGAAGTGTGTACCACAGCACAGGTCAGTTTTTTGTATTTGAATTCAAACACTTAATTTGATAAAGTTCTTGGTTACAGTCAGAGAAGAAGTCTTTGAAACTAAAGGAAACCTTTAATGTGAAAATGGCCAACATGCTATGCACAGAATTCCAAACTATCTTCTTTTTTACAGGTCTTACAGAATCCAAATTCCAACATTATACTCTTCTTCAGGCATTTGTCTTCCATCATTTAAGAGAAGATGCAATTTTCACAGATCCAGATCTTTGCTTCTTCCCTTTCATCTTACATTGGTGCCACCGTTAACTGGTTTATGATTCATGCAGAATAAAGTCAATGAAAAGCAGACAATACCTTTTTAAACATTGTGTGTGTGTGTGCGTGTGTGTGTGTGTGTGTGTGTGTGTGTGTGTGTGTGTGATGCATGCTATAGCACAGGTGTGGAAGTCGGAGAACAGCTTGCAAGCAACCATTCTTTCCTTCCACAACGTAAGGCCCAGGGATTGAACCTGGATGTCAGGCTAAGCAGAATGTGCCTTTACTCACTGAGCCATCTCGCCAGTCAATAACTGAATGTCATACGTGGGATCTATGGCAATGCCCCAGGAAGCAATATAGACTTAATATTTAGTGTGATTTGGTATGCAGTTCACCTGTGGGCAGAGATCACAGTCCATGATTTGACACTAAGAACTGCCACATTCAGATGAAATCTGAAGTATGGTGCTGGGAACAGAGAAGATATGTCATAGTGTTGCAATCCAGAGGAATACACAAAGTGACTCTTGTGGTCACTAAATATACTTATTTATATAAAGGTCCAGAGCACAAGTATACTGCAGGCAAGCACAGCTACAAACACAGCTGATCACAAGATTCCAGGACTTGATGGAGACTACAAATGCAAAAGTAGTCTCACAACAATGCATCTAAAAAGTTTGTGGCCAAATACATACACACACACACTACACTAGATTGCTTTAGGATTTCAGATTCTTCTGTCTATTTGGTGAATAACCAGAGTTTTAACATATAATATAGGTTTTCCCTTAAAGAAATAGTACTAAGCAATGGCTAGTCAGCAACTTATTTGTGGTACAAGCATGTGGACCTGAGTTCAGTTTCCAAACCTATACAAGCCAGGCAAGATGATGGTAACTTTTAATCTAAGCACTAGAATGACAGAAATGGAAAGATCCCTGGAGCTCACCAGGCAGACTACCTAGCCTAATTAGTGATTTTCAGACCAATGGAAAACTGTCTCAAAAGCATCAAATGAAATTTCTAAGCATGATTCCTGAGATTATCTTCAGGCTTCTGCACACATATTCATATGAACTAAGCACATACACAATTTTTAATTATAAGGAAAGTTAGCGGGTCACTTATATCATTGGTTTATATTTTTAACACCATACTAGGAAAACATGAGTTGTCTAGCAGAGTTATTACTGGTTACCAACCTACTCTAAACCTACAATGTTTTCACAAATGTGGTGTGATCAATGGTGACTTATGAAGGGACCAATACGTGGTACAAGATACCCCAAGACCAAGTTCTCAGCACACACACAAAAAAAGATTTTCCACACAGGGACACAGAGCAGGGAATAAAAGACAAGACAGGAGATAGAGGATGAGGGAGAAAGTGAAGGGAACAAGAGAAAGGGGAAAGGGATATTTGTACCAGAGGAACAAAGAACTGCCTCTGAATAGATAGGAGACAGACTAGGCCCATAGACAAACGGCAGGGTAGAAAGGTAAAGGGGGAAAGCCTATATTAGGATAAATCCACAGCCTCTCATTTCCTGTGGAAACAAAAGCAAAACCTCTTCTCCTAAGTAACATATCTTTTGCCTTAAATTTTGAAGTCAAGGCATTTTCAAAATATATATGTTGAATTAACCCAGTAGCATTTATAATTAAATACCTTTTAGCAGCATTGCTTCTCTCTCTGCCATCAAAAACAATAACATACAGTATTCAGATTCTTTGTGTATTTTCCATCTTTACATGGCTTTATTTTAAACTCCATTTCTTTTATTTTTATTTATTTATGTATTTGAGACAGGGTTTCTCTCTGTATCTTTGGCTGTCCTGGACCTCAATCTGTAGATAAGGCTGTCCTTGAACTCAAAGAGATCTGTCTGCCTCTACCTATTAAGTGCTGTGATTAAAGGTATGTTCTACCACACCCAACTGCTATATTATTTGTGAGACAAAAGAGAGAAAACAGATGAAATTTATGACCTAAGAGAGTTGAAAAAGAAGTGGAAAGCATGATATATGCTTCCTAAAACTGATGAACCAACACAGAAAACAGTCTGATAGACTGAAAAGCCAGGGCAATGTTTAGTTGTGAAAGGGGCAATATTTAGCAAGAAAAGTGCTGTGAAAAGGGCAATATTTGAAGAACAAATGGAATTTTTACTTTCTACACTTCGTGGTTTGAACCACACAATTAGTTACCTAATTTGCATTCCACTTTAATAACTAAATAATATTTCTCCTGGTCAGTCCTGAGAAGTCCTAAGTGCAAGTGCTCCCTCTTTAGGCAATTTTGAGCATAAAGATGACTGCCTAGCTTTGAGGTTTGGATTGTTGTGATGGTTTCAGACTGCCATGGTTGGCATTCATCCCATACATATGAAGTTACTTTACAGATGATTCTACACAGAAGTAAGAGGAGAAAAATCACAGTGACATTATAAGTAATACATGATAATCATGGGAAGATGACAAGGAAGAAAATGAAACATACATAGAGTATTGACTTAACACAATGAGAAATTAGAAACAATATGATAACTAAATAATGGACAGACTGTCACCAAAATTATTTTTATAAACTTAATGTGTACCATAGTTGAATACTTAAGTAAAATTTTAAGTGTGAAAAACATCCATAATCATAATTAAAGTGGATGCAACTAACTTATTCCACTTTAAGGAAATATCAAGTTTATATACAATAGGTAGTTTTTACATATTTTAATAGTTTGTTTTCTAATTCTCTATCACAATCATGAAGTTCTATAAAGAGCAGGTGAGCCAACATGTAATAAATTCATTGCTTAATAAAATCTATCATTGAAAATACCTATAAACAGGCCCCTCAAGTGAGTTTTAAAAAATAGTCCATGCATTTTCAATAATGCTCTACCTGTTACAATAATAACCTCGTCCACTAACAGTAGGTTAAGTTAGTTAAGTTACTGCGATAACACATTTAAGCCATGTTGAGCCCATTTATTTTTAATCTATAGATCAGAGCATTTCTTTTTTTTTTTTAATTTTCAAGACAGGGTTTCTCTGTAGCTTTTTGGTTCCTGTCCTGGAACTAGATCTTCTAGACCAGGCTGGCCTCGGACTCACAGAGATCCACCTGCCTCTGCCTCCTGAGTGCTGGGATTAAAGGTGTGTGCCACCACTGCCCAGCCAGAGCATTTCTTAAAAACATATTATGGTTCGTTTGCTGGTCTCTGCCCGATGAAGCCTCATATCAAGGATGTGATGATTTTAGATTCAATTACTTCATGACCTACATTTTTATTCTCCATTTATGATTATATATTATGCATAATATATGTGCATCATAATATTATATAGAGAATCATAATTATATGATTATAGAACTATATAAATAGATATATTATCATAAATAACTATATAATCATAGTTATATTATCATATATAACTATATAATAATTATATATAATCACCACATCTCTCTCTATATATATATACATAGTATGTATATGTTTCAGAATAAGAGTTACATTTTCCAAAGGAATAATGTTATTATTCACATTTTCAATAAAGAATTCAGCACCAATGAACCTAAAAGTAAAGCCAGAATAGACAAGTTCAGTGTTTATGATTGCTCTACCAGAGGTCTACGTTCAGTTCACAGCATCTACATTGCAAGCCACTTACACAGCTGCCAGGAACGCTGCCTGTGGGGGATCCTGTCTTCCTTGGGCATCCACGTATGCATGCTCATGTCCCCACAAACACACACACACACACACACACACACACACACACAAAATTAAAACAAAATAAAACTAAATATACTTTTAAGTAATAAATGGCAATCATAAAATATTTTTTGAGAAATTCAGTTAGTTGGCTAACATTCAGGAAATTAGGAAAAATTCAGTAAAGAATAACTGCCAATAAATAAAAAAAATGGATTTGTATTGCGGTAGGCAAGATAGAATGTTCATAGAGTTTGGAAATGACAAATCATTTTTGATGTTGGATGTAAATCATTAACTAACAAAGGTGTCTGTCTACAAACTTGGAGATATTGATAACAGTTTTCAAAACAAATTGTTCTATTTTTCCATATTATCTGAAAACTGAGATTTTGTTGGGTGTACTTATTAAAATAAACAAACATGCTTACTTATTAGAAATACTCAGTATCAATTATTTATCCAAAATTTTAAAAGCCAAAACAAAACTATTAAACAAATCTAATTATGGCATAGAGGTTTATAAAAAATACCATATACAATACTGCTATGTTAACTCAAAAGTCCTTTATCTTTGCTTATGCCTTACTCAAACACACCTGAGCATTTCTGACATTTGATAAGTATTTCTCAGAAACTCAAGTTGCTTCCCTCAGAAGGCTGTTAAACTAAACACTATTTTTTTCTGATGTCATAGAACAAGGAACCGTTCATCCCTTCTTGGCTATGTCCCCTTATCTAAGAAAGCAATGATTTCAAATGTCACGGCGGAGCAAATAGAGACCATTGTGATTAAGTGAGTGGAAAACTTCTCGGAAGAAAACAAATCATGGAGCGAGTCGAACCAATGTGACATGCTGAAGTACACGTGGCCTTTCTGGTTTGAAACTGATGACCTCAAATCTCATGAAGAGGCGGCATTATGTATTGTTGTGTTACTGGCACACCTATCTTATCCCTGACAACCCAACTTAAGCCAGTAATGAAGTTCGTGATTGAAGTAGGAAGGCGCTTTAAGGAGTCCACAGAAAACAAAACAGAGCCCCCCAAATAATTGCTAAATGTCTTTAATAAAAATGGTAAAGGGAATTTACAATGTAAAGTTATATGGACATCTTCCATACAAATCAGTTAAGGTAAATAGTTAATGCCTTTCAGTACATAAATGAGCTAGCCTTTAAGTTGTTAAACACTTTTACAAACTTCTTAATATATTGCATGTATTAATAAGCCTTCTCAATTAAAACTAATAATATCCCAATTCTCAACTGAGACACTGTTGTCCATTTTTTAAATATAAGAGTAAATGAATTCCAAACAGCCTAGGCTCCCACAAGGCCAGTCCATGCAGTAGGATCACAACCCAGTGCCATTGTCCTTGGCTTCTCATCAGCCCTCATTGTCCGCCACGTTCAGAGAGTCCGGTTTGATCCCATGCTTTTTCAGTCCCAGTCCAGCTGGCCTGCTCACCTTCCTAGACCTGGAGGGAGGGGGAAGGACCTTGGACTTCCCACAGGGCAGGGAACCCTGACTGCTCTTTGGACTGGAGAGAGAGGGGGAAGGAGAGGGCGGGGAGGGAAGTGGGAGGCGGGGAGGAGGCAGAAATTTTTAATAAATAAATAAGTAAAAGAGTAAATGAAGTCAAATAGCCACAAAGCAGCAGGACTTAAACACGGGTTTAATTCCTAGAAAAAATAGTTTCTTGTGTCATAATTTTCTTATTGTGATAAATTTTCAAAAACAGTGATAAATGCTTACATATTCACTTCTTCAACACACATTCTTTATCATCTACCCTGGCTTATGACTAAAGATATATTTATATGCCAAAATGGTAAATGACATTGAATATAATTTTAATCACACAAAGGAAGCTTCATATAATGTTTTTATTCCCAATCTCTCAAGCAAAAACTACTAATTCTGATATTCAATTTCAAATAATAAGAAGAATGATGTTTTTAAATTTTTCTAAATAAAACTATTGTAAGTGTTTATATTTAAGCATTAGACAAATTTTTATTTTAATATTTTTGAAAATCTCATACAAAGAGTATCAATTCTATGAAAATTTAAGAAAATGGAATGAATCAAAAATAGAGATCATTAGCATGCTAAACTCATAGGATATGTTATAAGAATTACTTTTCAATAAGTCTGGTTACTAAATGATACTTTTCATTAATAAGATTTTTCAAATAAGAGCAAAGACATACCAATCACAGAGCTATTTTAACAGTAGCAATAAACGGTCATGTTCTACTATGGACAATGTAAAGATTCACATGGACAATGACTGCAAAGGAAATTCTTTTCTTCCGGAAACATCTGTTTACTTCCTCTGTTGCTACCTTTCTCAGGTCAGCCTGGAGCAATCCCATCCACACACTTGCTTTCCTGCACCCAAGGCTTTCTCTGATCATAGAAAAATAGAATATATAAGAGCACAATTCACTTATTAAGTTGATGAGTCATTTGTATATAAACCACACACACACACACACACACACATACTCACACACACACACGGCATCTGGATACTTGAGCACACTGTTCCATGATAGACAAGAGAGAAATGTCCTCTAATCTAGTGCCCATCAAATTCTGCTGCTGGAAAATGTGTGGAATAAGACGGAGGTTGATACCAGTATATTTAGTTCATTCTTATCATTATTAAGAACAATTAATAGGTTTCCACCCAGCCCATCAGGATGCAAATAAATTATTCAAGTAGGTTCCAGAACCAGATTATTTGCTTTGCTGAATCTGGACCCTCAGTTTTAAGCACTATATTTTGTATTCTAACATTTTTGAGAGACTTGTTAAATAATTTTGGAAGTTTTCATTTTAATTATACATGATTCACTAGCATAATGTTTTTTTTGAGACAGAGTCCCTCTACAGACAACTGTCGCTATCCTGGAGCTCACTGTGTAACTAGGCTGCCGTGGAAAGCACAGAGATCCACATGCCTCTACCTCCCGAGTGCTGAAATTAAAATCTATAGATTCAATTAGCCTTCCACTATATGCAACAATGTCATTGAGACATCCTACTCTTTTAAGATTTTTTTCTCTTCTTTCTTATTTCATAGAAAATTTATTTTCACATTTTAGACCTAGGGTAAGAATTTTAATCAATTGAATGAAATAAATACTTGCTTTAAAAATAGATTAGTAACCACTAACTTCTAAAGAAGCTACTTTTGATTACATTAGAGTATGGTCAAAATATTATCTTTCACATTCACAGAGCCAAGTACCTTGTTATAAAAGCCTCATTGCCACTCTGCTTACTCTGTCGTAGGCACAGAGTGTAAGCACCTGTACTCAATTCACAATGCAAATAGCAATAAACAACTAAAGGTCTCGTATACAGCAAGAAAACTTCACCACCTCAATCTGATTTTGAAAATAAATCAAAGTTTAATTTTTTCCAAATTAAATTTTAAATAAGTGCTGAATTATTTAGTAAATTTAGTAGCCATTCAACAATCAGCACAAATTTTTTTAGCTTATTAGTCTAAATTTTCTATTTAATTGCAAAACTTGCAAAATCTCCTTAAAAGTTCTTTTAATTATTAAAATCTTCTTTATTCAAAGATGGTGATAGCCACAATAATAATAGATATCATCTTATGTAACTACTTAAAAAGCAGGACATGATAATTGTGCAGGCGCTTTACTCAAGAACAGCTTTCTTTAGTCGTTAGAGGCAGCAGTCCCATCAGACTGCATCAGACAGCAGGAAAGACAACCATCAGTTGACTAAGCCAAAACTCCATCAGCATCAAGTTTTCTCTATGCTCTCAGTTCAGTGGAAGTCCTGTTTGCCTCATCACTCTAAATACTGACAAAGGGCTCTCTCTTCCCTTCTGAGCATCCAACATCAAAGCCTGTGTCTGCCAGATCCATGTCATATTTCACTATAAAAAGACAACTGCTCATCTGCAAATCACAGCTGAGAGATGACATCAGTGCTTTCAGTTATCCCACAGCCAACATCTGCAATCCAGGCAAAGAAAGGCTACAGGGTCGTTGGCACCAGACTTACCCATTCCTATTGATCAATGACAGTCTCTCAAACATGCAGGTTTCTATAAATCACACTCAAAGAAAACAAAGCTTCTGACAAGACCCATGGGCATCCAGCTGATACCATCCTGGGTAAGCACCACCATCCCTGGCCCTTTTAAGTCTTTTCAGAAGTGTTGTGTCCAAAGTAAACCCCCTGGCATTGGCCACAACCAAATCAATGGCTACTGCAGCTCGGGATTCTAATGCTATGACCAAGGCACCAGAAAGAGTATCACCAATAATTGCCAACACGATTCTTGTGACATAGGCCACTAATTTAATGGTGAAGGCTCTATCCCCAAAGTCTGTTTCTACTGTACCTGCAGAAGAATCTGTGCACCAAGGAGCTGCTGTGCTACCTGGTCAAATGCAAGGATTAGCTCTCCATGTTCCTAACCTCTGCTTCTACCACCTCCTTTGATTTGAACACTGAGGACCTAGCAACTGGCCTTCACTGTCTTTTGATTTGGCTTTATGCTTTTCTAAACTGTCCAAGTCACTATGAATCTCTGCTTCAAGCAGTCTATGGGTTTCCTAACCTACTTCTCCATATTTCCCAACCTTTCTTGTAAGCCTGTTCCAAAGGCCTAAAACTCATGTAGCATATTGAGCACAGAACTACAGAAGACTAAGGCATGCTGAGAGCAGGAGAAATAGTCTTCCCCAGGGAAGCACATAACAATTGGCTACCCAATGTCAAATGAAAGAATACTTACAAGTAACACTATACAAACTAAGCAGTTTATATTTAGGAATACATATATATATATATGTATATATACACATACATGAATGTAATAATAATTAATGAATTAAAAGGTCATGAATTTTAAAAAGTGAGGAGTACATGGAAGGAGTTGGGGGAAGAAGAGAAGGGAGAGAAATGTTGTAATTATAATATAATCTCAAAGGTAAAAATTACTTTTTAAAATGTTGAGAGGGCACTAAGCAGGGGTCCCTGAGTACTTTAGGCTTTAACAGATTGTTATTCAAATACAGTGGAAAAGACAGCCCCAGAACCTGGAGCTCCACATTTTTAAGAATTACCTAGAAATTACAGGTCTCACACTTGCTGCATCTGAATGACTCCCGGCTTCTAGGCAGATGACAGCTAGAGTCTAGGAAAGGTGGTGGGGAGAGAGAGAAGGTGAAAGAATGGCCAATGGACTCTTCGTTAGAGAGAAGCAAGAAGTTCCGGTGGGCTGCCATGAAGGAGCAAGCAGAGCTACAGACGAGCACAATACGTCCACAAATACTTCTACAGCAGAAATAAAGAGTATGAGCATTTCCAAGATAAAAGCCTGCTTATAGCTCGATGGTAGAATAATGGCATGCCATGTTCAAGGCCCTGGGTTCAATCTTGAACACTTACAAAAGGAAAAAACAAGCAGGATAAATTAAGAAGTAATTAGGTTTAACCTGATAAACCTTGTATAATAGATACGTGTATCAGAGGTCGCCTGGGACCAAATTGACATATATAGTTCTTATAGTAACAGTTCTATTTTCTATTCTCATCACTAGACACATTATGAAAACATAAAGATTATAGTAAAATAATAGATGACTTTTATTTTGCTAAATGTAAATTTTCTACCTCAGGATAAAATTTAATTGGCAATAATTAAGAAACTAAATAGTTCTAATATCTACAGTCCAAATACTGTGTTTTAGTACTTCAGGAAAAAACCTGAGAAATTTACATATTTAAATTCTGATTTATTTACTAATTCTGTATAAAATGACATATTAGAAACTGCCAGAAGAATTTTTTTGTTTAAATCTCAGAAATATATTCTAAAGATTATAGCATAATGGTGAGTTCAGAATGATGAGCAGAAAGACAAGATTATCAGATAACAGAGAAAGCAAAAGGGATTTTTTTTTTTTGGTTTGGAATTTAATCTGTGCTGGTATTGAAATAAAAATATTTTCTAGTATTTTATGTGTTTATGTGGTGATATGAATGAAATGTGTCTAGTTATTTGACACATTTTTTTATTCTTTTTATTCAACTGACTCTAAACCAACAGATTCTTCTCTATCTTGAAATTGCTCATCTGCTCTTCAAAGTTCATCTAAAATTGTAGGTTCAAATTCTCCAACCATTTTCATTCCTTCTTCAACAATACATGTCATAGCTTTGTTTTTCCTTTAAATTCTCTGCTGTTCGGTTATTTTCAAGAGCCTGTGTTTCTGAACATGGTATTTAGGTATAGATGGGCAAGTTGTTCTGAATTGTTCTTCTCTGGTTACCAGATAGGAAAAATATATCAACAATGCTCCTATTTTTTAAAGCAATATTATAGAAGTACAATTAATGAAATATCAAACTATACAATAATTTAATAGGAATATTTGAAGATATTTAATTTTTCATATAATCCTGACTGATCTCAGATTTTAGTTAGTATTTTTCCAAAGTCCTTAGCTTCCATCCTCATTTCCCCTATTCCAATGTTCAATCAAAATAAGAACCACACACCTAAAATAATATTGATTTTATAAAAGATAAAGTCCTAATAAGTATAAGAGAGGAAAGAAGTAAATCTCATTATGAGCTAAATCAGTGGAACAGTTATAATTATATGTAATTTTTTCACTTTAAAGTGCTTACCTCAATTCTCAGAAAAAAACAACACAGTATATTGTTTTTACACTTGCTTTATTATGATATTGATGATCAAGCTCATATCCAGTGATTCAAGGACCGCCAAACTCTGTCTTCCAGTCCACATGGTTCTTGGAAGAAAAATAAATGGAGAAATTTTATCCAAGAGAAACAGCTGAATGGAAGCACACACAGGAGGTTTGTAAAGTGGAAATGTCCTTGCTTGTATTCTGCTGTTCTGCCTCCCCATCAAATCCATAGCCACCCAATGCAGAAACTGAGTCCTGTTTCTCACCTAATCCCTAATGGAGAATCCAATAAGTATCTTCAGGAAAAATTAAAAGTCCAATAAATAATTACTTAATAAACATTGAATAACTAAGAGATGTCATTCTAAGTCTAATAATGATGTAGTTGAAAGCTATGTTTAAAATATATAAATGTAATAAGCTACTAGGAAAACTGAATGTGCAAATAAAATTTTAAAGTAATAATTATATTAATGGCATTTAATTTAAAAACATATTTCCATAGCTACTTTCTTTTGGTTTTGATAACTCACTCAGGTAACTTACACCAGGGTGAAAAGAAAAATATTATTTACAAATGGGTTTAAGCTATATAATAGTAACCCAGTAGGTGTTAGGGCCAGGACAAGGCTTTCTGACTCCAGAATACATGTTCTTTTTATTAATATAATATTGTTTTACAATTCCTTATTTCCCAGTTGCAGATCATAATCACCTGTATTTATTATATACATAGGAACAGCGACTGAACAATGATTCAGACAGCAAATTAGAAACTACTTAATGTATACTCTTAAAGTTTGGGGGAACTGTAAGTCCTAAGAGTTAGTATAAGGAAATGGTTGGGGATACAATGGGATAGATGGATCTCATAAATTTCTCTAACACAGACATTTTGAATTTAAAAGCTTAAAGGTATTTTTGTTCCAATAGAGGAAAGACTGCAGACTCCGAGGATGCTATCTCTAGCCCTGATCTCACTATTTGCATCCCACTTCAGAAAACGGGGGGGGGGGGGGGACTATATAAATGTAATTGATAAAATTTCAAAACATTTGGAATCTTTAACTACATATGAATTTTCTAGGGCAATAAGAAATTAAACTACAGTTTTCAAAATTGAGGGATGAACATAAAAGCCTTTGTGCTAATTTGTGATGTTTGCTAATAAGCAGGCTTTATTCTTATTACCTCCAACACAAACAAAGATAAGAGAGTTAGTGGTGTTTCTAGAAGAAAGAAAGTAAAACAACAAGCGCTTCAGTACTAAACTGAAGTAATGGACACACACGCATTATTTTTTCCTAGACTCTCCTCGGAAGCACAACCAATAGCGGGAAGGTAGGAGGGACATAGAGACAGCAGGCTTGCTTTATTAGAGGGAACACTCTGATAGGTAGTTCTTTATCTGCAGACATCCCATCTTAGAAGCTCTGGGTCAACTGAAAGCAAACCACGGAGGTGCGGCACCAAGGTAATGATATGGATGGTTCTAGTTCTTATAGAACACCATCAGTGCAGAATATGTTTTCCTTAGCTAGTATCTATTTTTAATCAAGAGGAAGTTGGGGACATTAATGAGTTCAACTCCAGACAGTCTTAATTAAAGGTACAATGGCACAATCAAATGCCTACAAAAGTCTTGGACAAACTAATCGTGATCAATTAGAAACTCTTTAAACCCATCCACATAAGTTCGTGCTGGGGTATTGTCATAGAGAACATTCCCCAGAACGAGAAGAAAAAGAAAATCCATGAAAGAAGCTAAAGATTTTAAAAATACATAAAGTCAGAATGGGGAATAGAGGCACTAATGCTGAATACTAGGGAAAATTTCATCCTTTAAGATTCTCTTTGACAGCCGGTCGATGGTGGCTCATGCCTTTAATCCCAGCACTCAGGAGGCAGAGGCAGGCAGATCTCTGGGAGTTCGAGGCCAGCCTGGTCTACAAGAGCTAGTTCCAGGACAGGCTCCAAAGCTACAGAGAAACCCTGTCTCGAAAAAAAAAAAAAAAGATTCTCTTTGACAGCAAACATACTTAGCTAACTTTGAGTCTGTTCCAATATGTAGGCAAAGCCTTATTGAAGTGATTGTAACAAAATGCCTAAAAGAGTTAGAGGAAGAAAATATCACAAACACACAAACACATGCAAAACACACAGTGAGTTGTAGTTAATATTAGTGTTTAAAATTACAAAATGTTTTGAAAGCCATTTGTCAATTTATTTTTATTTTTTGTCTACAGAATAAACATCAGTGGGAAGCAACAAAAACTTAAATAGAAAATGAGAATAATCAGATCTGTATTTTCTATTGTATTACATATATTAATTGCACACAATAATAGGATTTGCCATGACATTTTCATATATTTATGTGTATGTGATGTACTTTGATAATGTCCCTTTCCTCCATTACTTTCTCTTATTATTCCTCCTGACCCTACTGGTCCCCTTGCTATTCCAAAGAATTTTTCTTATATTTTCATGTCATTTATTTCAATCCAAATTTCTCTTGTGAGTGAAACCTTATTTATCTTTTTGAATCTGACTTACTTAACGTGCTACTCTCTAATTCCAGCATAAGTTCATTCTTCTTCTTTGCTGAGTAAACACCTGCTGTGTATCCAAATCACATTTTCTTTAACTAAATTGGCATTTAGGCTGATTCCATAACAGAATAGTATCTCTAGTAAACAGGACTATGTAGGTGTATCTAATACATACTAACTCTGGTCCAAAAGCAGTATAGCTGAACCATATCGATAGGAATGTAAATTAGATCAGGGACTACAAAAATCAGTATGGAGAGTGTTCAAAAAATTAAAATCAACTGTCCAATGCATAAAATTTATCATAACAATCATGACAGTTGAAATCAGGATTCTGGATGGATTAAGAAACAATTTTGTTAATCACGAGACTAAAGGGGCCCCTGGAATGAAAGGACATTGTATTGTTTTTCCTGACACCTCTGTCTACCATAATATTGCCTAGTAAATCTTAGGTAATCAAAGTATTCGCTGAATTAAGTAGTGGCCCACGTGAGTTAAAAACAAAAAAATATTGTACATCCAATAAATTGGAGGCATGAAGACATTGTTTTGTAGGGAAAAGCAGCAGGAGGCGGACTAGCTTAATTCAGACCCAGACTGAAGCATCAAGTGTTTCAGAGACTTTCTTGTGATGTTTCATATAGTTCATCTGCTTACACTGAAAGCAAGGATACTGAGGGTCCAGCAACTGTGCTCACAAGCCTGGCGCTGTCTGAGTCTGTGCTAACGCTACTCCAAGATAGACATAGAAACAGACTGCTTTCATTTTCTGTTTTCCACCCACTAAATTCTGATGCCAACTCTTCTGTACATACATTCAAGTAACCTGGAACTGTGGAGAGAGACGCTATAGTACTGTGTCGTTTCTACCATACTACTGTATAGTGTCAGGAAAAACTGAGTTCTCAGGAACTAGACTGGCATAACTCAGAAATAGATTTGATTACCTTTAAATGTAAATTGTATTACATTCAGCAGGAATTTTCAAAAATATTGTATAATAATATTTTATAAAAATGTTTTCAGGAAATCACAGAGTAGATCTGGTAGAAAAAAAATTGTTGAGAAGAAGAGCAAAAGGCCAAATAACATAAAATAATTTCTTAATTTCCTTAATCTGTCCTGGCATAATATATGGTATATTATGTCACACACCACACATAGAGGAGCTAAGCTCAAAAGGCTGAACTCAGAGGTTAATAGCATATTAGAATAGAGTTACCCTTGAGCTCATTGAAAAGTATAGCACTACCTTTAAGAGATATGTGTGAAACAAACTCAACAGTTATTTGTAGACTTTTTGTCTCATTTTGCTTTTGTTTTTATTTTGTTGTATTGATTTTTTTCTCATATATTTTGGTACCTATTTTGGTCTTTCTGTGGGATTTTGTGTGTATTTCTTGTTTCTTGTTTGATTTTATTATTCTTTTGGTTGTTGTTTTAATAAAAGAAAAAGAACAAAAAGGTTGTCTACATAGAAAAGTAAGAATCTGAGAAGAATTGGGGAAGGAGAAAAATATATTGCATGATATGGGAGAGTCTTCTGTTTTGTGTTGATTTAATTGGTTAAATAAAGAAACTGCCTTGGCCATTTAATAGGACAGAAAATTAGGTAGGCGGAGTAAACAGAACAGGATGCTGGGAAGAAGGCAGTGAGATCAGTCGCCATAGCTCTCCTCTCCGAGATGGAAGTAGGCTAGAATCCTTCCTGGTAAGTATTAATAGAAATGGGTTAAGCAAGATGTGAGAGTTAGCCAGTAAGAGGCTAGAGATTATGGGCCACGCAGTGTTTAAAAGAATATAATTTGTGTGTTATTATTTCCAGGGCTAAGCTAGCCATGTGGGATCTGGGTGGGAACATAGCCTGCTGCTCCTTACTACAATTGCATAAAAAATATTTTAATAAAAGAACCATATATATAATCAAATTCCAAAACTGCCTTTATAACTTAACCCAAAGAGAAAATATTACTTTGTTCTTAAAATTATCTTTTCTTTATTGTATCAATGGGCAGTTGGTTTAAAATCATCATCTCATTATCAAGCACTTAGCAGGTCATTTTTCTGGTTTCCTTTACTAAGGTGATAAAAGGACAGAATGAAGACTTCAGTCTTACAAGGACTCATTTTGACCTTCGCCATTTGCTTCCAGGTAAGCTTCAAGCCCAATGGAAAACCAAAAGAACTGCCAAAAACTAAAGACTATGTAATATTATGGTTGGGCTAAAAGAGAGTTCAGAGCATTGTGGTTTGAAGCCAGGATAGACGAAAACAAGATAAAAAAGAACAGAAATGGATTTTTCTTCCAACATTCATGGGAATAAGTTTATTTGAAATCATGTCGTTGTGTTCTCCTGCAATCCAAGACAGTGGAAAGAATTATAAGTTTGAGACATGCCTGAAAAAATAAATAAATGATCACCTGGAATTTGGAAGAGCCAAATAAAGGGAGATGTAGAAAGAAAATAAACAGGTTAAGAGTGATAGAAAAGCAGACTATTGTATAAGGAGAATATGGTATGAGAAAAGTTCCTAGTG